AACTAACGGTACTTTTGACCACCCCTGTAACTTCGTTGTGGATAGCAAGAATATTATTTTTAAACGGTTTTATTTTTATTAAACGGTTTTATTTAGCTCGACCCGTACGGTATTTATTTATTTGTTTGGGTCAAAATTAGAAATTGAAATTTAAGTACCTTCCTGTTGTCAGATTGATCTGAAATTTGGTACACACCTTTAGTTCCGATGACAATACAATATAGTAATATCAATAACATTGTAAATCTAAGATGGCCGCCGGTACAAAATGGCGGATTTCATATTTTTCCACAACCCCCTCAATATGGGTATCAAATGAAAGGGCTACACTAGTAGAATACTGTGATTATGACAAAATTTAAAATCCAAGATGGACGTCGTTACAAAATGGCGTATTAGGTGAGGGCATGAGTAGTCGTGTCCAGAACAGTTGTGTCCAAGATTGTGTGACGTTAGAAGGACAGATAAAAAAAAATAGGTGATTAGATTTTCTCCTCAAGATTGGGCGCATCTTGTTGTATATTATAGCCTTGCCCCTCTTCTGGGGGGTCGACCGTTAAAATGTCCATTACTCGTGGGAACTTAAAAACCCAAGAGATGAGTTTGCAACAGACAAAGCGTTAAGGGTATACCCCACTAATCAGCAAGTAAACAATCACAACGCTGCTGTTTTAAATCTGTTCCGGAATAAGGGATCTCGAATTTATACCATTAAAGCACGGGACCAACTAATTGACGCCACACGAGCGCAAATAGTGTAATTTAGCAAATATAATACCAACAGATATAAATAAGACTGGAGGCTTACCATCAGTACTTGAAATATTTGTAGGAGCAAAAGTAATGTTGCGGTCCAACATTGACGTTACAAAAGGATTGGTAAATGGTGCTATATTGGTTTGGCCTCAGTTCCGTCGAACCCAAATGTACGAAACAGATGTACCATCAGTTTGGATTGACTTTGGCAGAGACGGCATGCACGTTATACACCCGAAAGCCATACAGTTTCCAGCAAAATTCAATTATGGTACGGCTGAAAGAAGGATGTTACCCTTAATTTTGTCATGGGCATCCACCGTCTATAAAATGCAGGGCAGCACAGTCGACCATGCAGTAGTGTATTTGGGCTCAAAATTGTTTGAGGAAGGGCAAGCATACGTGGCTCTAAGTCGAGTCAAGTCTCTGGAAGGGCTATGTGTTGAGGAATTAGATTGTAATAAATTATCAGGTAAAAAACCATGTAACAATGATGCACTAAATGAATTAAATAGAATGAGGAATATTCGGTAGGCATTTCCGTTAAATACTAAAAACTAGAAAATAAAAAATCGGTAAAAAACTTTTAAGTTAAACGGTTTTATCTTATGTGCACTGAAAACTAGAAAATAATAATAACAATTAGTTGTTTTGAACTTCTAGTTCAGAAAATATTTTAGTACTAGGCAGAATACTTTTAGGCATATTAGACTAAAATAAAAACGTGGGGCCCCTCTGAAATCCTACCTATGGCAAAGCATATCTTTATACTTTGGTATATGAGCTCGGCGTTCGCTGGTGAAGCCGCCACGGCTGGATATTGATTGTCAAAATCTCCAGTTACGATTATAGTAAGTCGATGCAATCCACACTTAGTATAGAAGAAAGTATTACAGCAATAGTTAATGGGCTCCACGTTTTTATTTTAGTCTAATATGCCTAAAAGCTATTCTGCCTAGTACTAAAATATTTCTGAACTAGAAGTTCAAAATGCCTAATTGTTATTATTATTTTCTAGTTTTCAGTGCACATAAGATAAAACCGTTTAACTTAAAAGTTTTTTTACCGATTTTTTATTTACTAATCACGAGGACATACTATAGCTGGCTGTATTGCCAATATATCTAGTATAGTAATTGTACACCGTAGTTTATGAATTATCGCAATTATAGGTATGTCAAATCTTTAATTTCGACTGACTGACAGATCATCAAAATTCTAAAGTACTTCTAGAAGTTTCACAAACTTCAAATTTTGAATTTTAGGTAGATTTAAGCTTATAACGAAAGGAAAAATGAATAATTTCGAAATATCCCTATGGATTAAAAGTTAGGTTACAGAATATACAGGGTCCGCCAATAATGCGTCGGGCATCTGTAGCTCCTAGAATAAAAAAAAACTTGAGAATTTTGTTCAAGTGCAGACCTAAAGTATGTACCAAGATGTATTTCAGAAAAATATTTTAACTTCTATAGGGTGACCCAAAAAAGTGAGTGGATCGGGATGATTTTTTTAAATGGATCACCCTGTATATTATTGCATTTTTGGCTTTCTTTCTATCATTAACATAATCCTAAGATATGAGTAAATATATTTAGATAATTTCAGAAATATTAATAAATAAATAAAAAATATATATTTTTCAACCTTCCTTAAAAGGTTATTACAAATACAAGAACTTTTCTGAAATCAAAACTATATTAGGTATTTACTTTAGATGGTTTATACTTACCTGATATTATCATGAAATGTCATAATAGATTAACATTTTTTGTATTTAAAGTATTTCAAATTTTTTAATGGTTTCGCAGATACACGGAGTATTATTTCATATGGCTCTTTCAACGGTAAAATACGAGTCAAAAATCATTGGGTGGCTTTGATAAAAATTTACTGTGGAAAATTCCACATAAAATATAAAACAGCGAATATCTGCGTAACAGCTAAAAATTTTGAAATACAAAAAATCTTCATTTTTTAATTCCCCATCTATTGAAAAATTAATATATGTATAGGATGTTCCATTTAAAAAACGAAGAAAGGCTATTCTATATTATAGAAAGTTTGGCGTAGAATTTTGAACATCCTGTATGATTTACGATTACCATATTTAAAGCAAAGTAAGTACAGACCATCTAAAGTAAGTACCTAATATAGTTTTGATTTCAGGACAGTTCTTCAATTTTTAATAATTATTTCAAGAGAGGCTGAAAAATATACATATGTATATTTTTTATTTATTTATTAATATCTCTGAAACTATCGAAATATATTTACTTGTATCTTAGGGTTATGTAAAGTGATCTGAAAGAAAGCCAAGAATGCAATAATATACCTACATGGTGTTCCATTTAAAAAAAATCATCCCGATCAACTCACACTTTTTGAGCCACCCGATAGAAGTACTGAAATACATCCTAGTACCATAAGCTTTTTTCGTTTTCCTGTTATTACCGATTCTGAACCGTCCTAGAACTGTGATGCGTATGCGCAGAAGGAAATATGAAGACATTATTTCATTTGCGCATGCGCCGCAGAGTTCTAGGACGGTTCAGAATCGGTAATAACAGGAAAACGAAAAAAGCTATAGACAAACAAATAAAAAGAGACTGGCAAATTAAATGGCAAAGAGAGGGACAACGTTTCCGTAGCGCAACTCTGAACGCAAAATTTCGTTCTATTTATGTTGATCTGCGCATTGCGTCTATTGGGCCCACTATCTCATTCTAATATAACAAGAGAGAAAGAAGCAACCATATAAAACGTAATTTCTAAATAGAAATTAGAACAATCGCCTTTCGTTTTCGTCATCATGACAACCAAGTTGACAACATCATGACAATTCGTCATATTTGTTAATTTTTCTTTTGGTGATTTACCTTTTTTTCTAAACTCTCCATTTTATTGACTTGTGAATATGGATAGGGAACAAATTCCTTTGTTCCATATAGGTATTTATATTTTGTTACTTATAATTTTCGGTTATACTATTTGTTATTTTATTTGCAGCAGGAGCCAGTATCATCTATTTTTTATATGTATTGGTGCCTCCTTTCTCTGATAGATATGTTAAAGACACCCAGTAAAATAAAAGTAAGTAGTTATATTTATCATCTTATTAAGAAAAAAGCAGAAGTAGTAGTGTCAAAAATATTTCGAACCTCTCTTAACATAACAAATTAATACAATTAATTTTTTTCATTTTTTGGGTAGTTTTATAGCTGGTTTATAGTAACCAGAAACTTTATTAATATACCTATTTTACTTTTGTTTTAGATTTAAAACTGGACTTGAAAATGGTTCAGGATCATGATTCTCGTAAAGTCTTCTTTGCTTGGATATTCACGTTGTTATTGCAATTAGGCAGTTTTTTCGAAAATTAGATCTTTAATGCCCTTTAAAAAAATTGGCCGATCGTTTCCTGCAACAGTCAGTTCTTCTGCATTTAAAATTGGTAGGTGGGTGGAATAAACACTGTTATTTTTTGTTATATTATAAAAAGTTTATTTATTTTTATGTATAAATAAATATGTTTATAAAACCGTACAAGGTTTGCTTTTTTTATAATTTCCCTTATAATAGTAGTACTCTTTCGTTCTGAAAGAAACTGCAAATTTTCACTTAAACTGATTTATTCCCTACACCACGTTCCCTTTACGTGGTATAGGGAATATATAAATCAGTTTAAGTGAAAATTTTCAGTTTCAGAATGAAAGAATACTGCTAATAAAGGCTAATTTAAATTTTCCGCCAGCCAGAATGTGCGATAATGTCTTACGATACGTTTTATACCTATCTCTTTCTTTTTCATATAAAGCACACATAATAAAGAAAGATAGCAATAAGGACGTACGTGCTGCCATGGTCCTGCTAATTGGTTTCAAAATTGTTATTCTGAGTTGCGCTACGGGAACGCGGTCCCACTCTTTACCATGGGATTTGTCAGTCTCTTTTTATTTGTTTGTCTATGCCTAGTACATACATACTTTAGGTTAGCACAATCCCCAAATTTTTTATTCTAGAAGCTACATATGCCTGTAGCACTATTGCCGAACCCTGTATACGCAAACTAAAAATAATAATAATAATAATAATAATGTTTATTTATATACCTATTAAATTACAATGTTACAATAAATAAACATACAATAAACATAAATTTACCTCAGAAAAAATGAAACATTTTTTGGTGCGAATAATATAAATAAATAAATAATTACTAATCCTGTCATTTTTGTTTACAGTTGCGAACAGCTTCGTATGTACAGACCCGGAAATAGTTACGAGGGACGAATGGGGTGCCAAACCACCCACAGATGTTGAAAACTTAACTCTACCAGTTCCTTACGTCGTCATACACCACAGTTATATACCTGCAGCTTGTTCAACAAAAGAGGAATGTATAAATGACATGCAATGGATGCAAAAGTATCATCAAGTAAGTGACAGGTTGTCGAAATTTAGGGTGTATTCAAAGAATATACCTAGCTAGAAAAAGAATGGACTCTGCCATACTGAAAATGGTCCTACAGAAGTGGCGCCATCTATTGAGTAGGGCTTGTTTTAAATGGATCGAAGCGCGGGCTTTTTAAATGAGCGTATTTATTGAATTTTACTCTAAAATAATTAAATTTGATTATCTTATTTTTTAGACAAATTCAACAATACTAATAACAAGTATCGTTGTGATATGTAAAAAATAAGATTTAACAGTATAATTTATACAATTATTAAATAAAATTAAAGCCAAATATGTGTAAATATTATTTATTATTTAAAATTTTCATTTATAAGTCAAATATTTAAACATCGTTTATTCCAATAAAACAAGACAAACGTAATACGGCCAAAATTTTGTAAATGGAGTAAATATAAGATAGGTACTTAAATGATGAAAAAAATAAAAGACTTACATTATATTTTTAAGGCCACAAACAAAAGGAATTGTCTAATTAAAACACATATAACAAATTATAGTTTGAAAAACGTTTTGATAATCAGTTGATAATATTATGATTGGCGCTATGACAACGACAATATTTTTTGAGAATTTGACAATAGTATGACAATGGCCGTTGGAAACTATGGAAACTACAAAAAAATTCTGATTTAACGCCATCTGGCAGTAACTAGTAGCAACTTCTTAACCAAAAAATTAATTGCACTACCACCTAGCGCCTGAGGCTGGAATTATTTTATTTTAAATTTCTATGGAAACGGTGGAACCGCTTTTGCTATTTCACTTTCCCGCCCCTGGGTGTATTCCATTGCTTACCTTGGTTATGGTTTTATGTTCCGTTTCAATCGGTTTCCTGAAAGTTTTCTTATTACGGAACACGGTTCCTGAAAAATTCGGTTGTAACTGTCACCCAAGGACTGTCACCAAACTGTCACCAAACTAACCAGCGCAGCGCGAGAAGGCTGGTTTTTCTGGGTTTGTTTGTCAATCAATGTCATTTATGTGACAGAAATCAAGCAAATATTGGAAGTTCGAGTGTAATTCTCATTTAATTCTCATAAAATTTGTAGTAATATTTTGTATTCCAAAAGCAATGGAGGCAGGTAAAGGTAAATAAATTTCATTAACTAAATAGAATTATTTTTAGAACCATTTAAACTTATCATGCAGCCATTGTTTCTTAGTCAGGAACATTTAAAGGAAATATGAAAAACAAGACAACAAGTAATCGTGAATGTTTTTGTAAGCTATAAAAATATAAATATTCATTAGATTTGTTTATTTATTATTGATCTGTTTTAATATTGGACCTGCAAATCTTCACTTGATCTGTCTAACGAGTTTAACAGTTCATTAATAAAGTACTTTTCAATATTAAACTAAATTGAAAAGAAGAAGCAAACGTAAAAGCAGAGAATAGGTACATTAAAAATGCATAAAAGATAAGTTTTATAATAAAGGTATTGAAATTTAGAAAACGCCATCATTTGGCATTTCCATTATTTTACCAAACCGTTCCGTATCAAACCGATATTTTTCAGGTACCGCTCTTTACCGGTTCGGTTTGCCTGGTTTTGCAACGGAATACAGCCTTAAATTAAAAAAAAGTTTCACTATTGAGGAGCCTCCTATATGCATGCCGGAAGCACTGCAACCTTTAAAGTGACAATAAGGTCTACTGTGCTTCTCCCCTTCCTATATCTGCACCCAGTCCCTTATCCCTCCGAATTGAAGGATTTCCTTCAATATGAAGAATTTTACAGTCAAATTTCGCCGAATGAAGGACTGAAGAATTTTTTTACAAAAAGAACACAATATGAAGGTTTTTGGTAGTTTTGCACAATAAAAATTGTTAAAATATAGTAGAAGTTTTCCTACATCTATTTTTTCACTTTAACGGTGTTTAATTAAGAATGCCTCAGTTTGAAGCAATGTTACTGTCAAAAAGTCCGCAATTGTAGAAAGATTAACACAAACAAAAAATTAACAGATACATTTTTATCTTTAACACATCTTATTCCACACATACCATAACTAAACCAAAGTTCTTAATGTTGAAAAAAATATATAAACGGAAAATATATCTAATAAGTCAGCAGATCATGGCGACTTGTATGATTAATTATTCTCGGTTCAGGCAGTCATAATAAGCAATGAATTTTTTGAAACATACTTTATAATACTGCTGTCGAGTGTCTATCACAGTATTTTTGATCGTATTATTATTTTAATAATAAGTTTATTTAAATATATCGCTGTCCAAAAATAACCGGAAATAAGTTTTTAAAAATTTTCTCCTAAATATCAAATAGGTAAAATACAAGAAATTTACCGATTTTTACAAGATCTGGAATTTTTTGGAAAGCACTGTTCATTAAAATGTTGTATCCTATGTTATAGGGCTTGTTTCTCTCTACAATTTCCTGTCTCACAATGTATCGTTTGTGTCAGGGAAGGGATCATAGTTTCATAGTTGTCGATTTTCGAAAGAAATCAGTACATGTATATTATTTCGTATATTTTTCATTTTATTGATTTTATGGAAAGCACTGTTCATTAAAATGTTGTATCCTATGTTATAGGGCTTGTTTCTGTCTACAATTTCCTGTCTCACAATATACCGTTTGTGTCGGGGAAGGGATCATAGTTTCATAGTTGTGGATTTTCGAAAGAAATCAGTACATGTATATTATTTCGTATATTTTTCATTTTATTGATTTTATGGAAAGCACTGTTCATTAAAATGTTGTATCCTATGTTATAGGGCTTGTTTCTCTCTACAATTTCCTGTCTCACAATGTACGGTGTGTCCCCGGGAAGGGTTCATAGTTTTATAGTTGTCGATTTTCGAAAGAAATCAGTACACGTATATTATTTCGTATATTTTTCATTTTATTGATTTTATGGAAAGCACTGTTCATTAAAATGTTGTATCCTATGTTATAGGGCCTTGTTTCTCTCTACAATTTCCTGTTTCACAATGTACCGTTTGTGTCCGGGAAGGGTTTATAGTTTCATAGTTGTCGATTTTCGATTAGGATTTGAAGTTGAAGGAATATGAAGGTTTTTTAAGGCTCTGTTGAAGGAATTCCGGTTCTAGACTTGCTTTCCCCAATAGAAAGTGTCTTGCGATCCAGAGCCTTGCAGTAACATATTATATGAAGTCTTAAAGTAAATAAGTGTCAAAAACTCGGCTTTTCATGTTTTATTTGTAAAATGTCCTAAATTCCATAATAAACAACATATACAGAGTGTCCCAGAAATAAGTGTAAGAATTTTACGGGGTGGTAGATCTCGATAAAAGAAACATATTTTCTCTTCACCGTTTTTCAAATAAGTCCAAAATAACGGAGTTATTTTGCTTTGAAAATTTAAAAAAAGTGTTTTTGCTAAAATTTTGAGAGCCACTGGATCTTTTCTGGATTTTCTTTCTTGTAAATTTAATCTAATATCTATGTTACAGTTGAGGGTTGGAACCTTTGGTGTTACACAGCAAAATAAAAACACTAAATAACCACAATACACCAAAACACTTTTACTTTTAAACTGGACGCGCGTTTCGCTAACCATGTTAGCATCATCAGCAGATGATTATAAACTGAACTCAGTCAGTTTAATCAGTCAGTTAATCATTCTAACCATGTTAGTGTCATCAGCAGATGATTATAAACTGAACTCAGTCAGTTTAATCAGTCAGTTAATCATCTGCTGATGATGCTAACATGGTTAGCGAAACGCGCGTCCAGTGTAAAAGTAAAAGTGTTTTGGTGTATTGTGGTGATTTAGTGTTTTTATTTTGCTTAATATCTATGTTGTAATATTATCAAGAAATTATGTTTTTTAAATTAAAAATAAAAAAATTTCCAAAAAATTCTTTAAAAAATTTCGAATTTTCAAATTTTGCGTGTTTTTGGGGTTGAACTATACTACCAGTTAAATACTTGCACTTATTTCTGGGACACCCTGTATAAAGCTAAAGCGCTATGTGCCCCGGCTATTTAACTGTATTGAAAAAATATTCTCAACAGAGACACCGCCCTTTCTTATACATTGATTATACAGGGTGTCCCAGAAATAAGTGAAAGTATTTTAAGGGGTGGTAAATCTGGATAACAGACACATATTTTCTCTTTGCCATTTTTAAAAAAAAATGATAATAACCGAGTTTTTTAACTCTGAAAATTTAAAGAATAATGAGAGAGCCACCAGCAGCAATCGATAATTAGCCGCAAATATCAAGCAATTACCTTTAAAAACGACTTAGAAAATCATATTAAAAGTAAAAAACTTACCTAACATTAGTAAACGGGGCTCCGATAGATAGCAGATCGATATAATAAGGTTAGAGTGTCGTTTTATCACTTTACCTAAAACCATAACTCTATACTTAACAACACTTCATTTCACTGCGATTCTTGACAGCACTGTACTTAAATACCCACGTGTATTTGGCACAAAATACATTCATATAGCATCTGAATTATTTAGGATTATTTTTTGAGAATTTAGGGTACTATATGAATGATATTCTTATATGTATTTTCAGCAAAATAATTCATGGTGCGATATTGGATATAATTTCGCTGTTGGAGGGGACAATAGAATTTACGTTGGACGAGGTTGGACAGCTGTAGGGGCCCACGCTCCCCGTTATAATTCCAGAAGCATTGGAATCGTCCTGATAGGAGATTGGACAGGTTAGTAAAAACAGTGTGATAAAAATGCAGTGTGAGTGGTTCAGTATTACTGAATGAATATAATGAACATGATAGCAAATTTTCATTGAAAATGATCTGTATACTCATACTTTCAGTTAAAGTAAAGCTAGTTCTACTTTTGTTCATTTTGCCTGAACAATAAAGACAAGAAGTTTTCCAATTTTTGTGGAGATATTTACAGAACTGGCCTCCAAAACTAATTCTGTCGATATAGTTTCAATAACCCCCATTTGGTTCTGCTTAATATCCACATCATTGACATTTTTGTCGTTTTTGATGCCTCAGAATACTTCGTAATTCGTAACTAGCTAATAAGTAAAGCTTCGTAATAAGCTAATAATTGTAAATACATTTTTTTACGAGATTAATGAAATATGTATACCTACATTTCATACCAAATAAACTTGTAGTCACGTGATTAAGCTTGACCGGCACAGCGTCAATATAGGTATATGGCCATGGTTGGCGACAATGAATTTAAAAATCGCGCCCTCGATTACGTAACTAAAAGTTTAATTGATGAAAACCAAACTATATTTATAGCAAATATTATATTTAACCGCGTGAAAAATACAGAATAGGCTTACCTTGGCAGCTGTCGTGACTTCAGGACTGTTTCAATAAAACTCAGATTTGTTCTGAATTACAGCAAACAGAGCTATAACAAAATAAGACAATTTGTTAGAAATCGGAGATAGGTTACTAAACAATGATTTTAGTATTAAAAGGATAATGGTAAAAGTTTTGTAAGTTGTTATTGCGGTATACCGGGTGTTTCTCAAAAGTGGATCACCCCTATAACTTTCTATTTTTTCAGATAAAAAACAAATTCGGTATGTTAGTGATATAAATTAGGATTCACTGACGTATTCAATTTGACGTATTGTTTTATTGCATTGTATTGTTTTCGGTCACTTGCTGTTTCACCGGAAATAACTACAATTTTTGATTTTTAAATGACACCCTCAGTATTTTTTTTACTTTATTCCATAGAAAATGACACTCTGAATAGAATGACATTTGCTAACTTTTGACATTTTCGCTAAAAAAATAATATTTTATTGAGTCTATGGATATGACTGTGTTAAAAACACTAATTTTTAATCAAGGAGCCTTGGAAAAATAGTTTTGATCATCTAATATTTTTCGTGTCTTGTCCTGAACGACTAAAATATGCCCAAATCGTATTTTTAATCCTATCTCAACTTTCTCAAATGGAACAAAGGTGGCTCATTAGCATATTTGGAAAAAGCATATTGTCGTCAAATTGTGAATCAAATTGTCGTTATGAACCGCATGTTACAATTCCAAATAAACCAAATGCGAAAATGTCAAAAGTTGACATATGATTTGTGATTTTATTCAGAGTCTCATTTTCTATCGAATAAAGTAGAAGTATACAGAGTAGCGATGGGAACTATCGAATGAATTAGACTATCGAATGGTTACTGAATGAATGATTTCAACTATCGAATGGTTTATTCGAATAAAATCATTCATTCATTTGTATACTAAAGTATATGTGACAACCTCGCCGTGCGACTAAATGGTTATCTTTGAGCCACGACTATCGAATGCTTTTGATAAATGAAAAATGAAATTTAGTATTCGTTTGATTTTTGTGTGCGTCAGTGCATTATTAGTTCTTCCAAATTTTTATAACTTCACCTTATAAATACTGTGCTATTTTTGCGTTTATTAAAATATTTAAAATACTAAAATAGTAGTTTTTTTAATTGACGATTGTGTGCGTGTGCAGGTGTCAAAATTTTCCGATAATTTGTGTGATTTTCCGTAGCCCGATCTTTCAATTATTTTATTTTATATGGTATATATGGTCTATTTTTTAATGGGAAATTTTGAGAAGTAGCAATTTTTAAGAGAGATGAGATGAACTTGAAGTTTTACACGTGCCAATTTAAAAAAAAAGTTAACGATGTTTGTATTTTGTTTATGTTAATTCTCTTACATGTAGTTTTTTGCGAAGAAATATTTCATTTATTTTTTAAAGTAAATGCCAGTAAAAGTAAATATTAATTTTAAATAATAATATAAAGTACCTAATATAAATAATTTTGATTTCTAATTTTTCATTTATATTTTCCTTCCATTACACTGCATGCTTAGAAAATTAATAAATGTTTATATTTCATGATTTTAAAGTTTGTTGTTAATATAACAAATTAGCTCTGTAATTATTATTATTTAATAAACCAACGATGCCAAAAAATTTAAAGACTATATTATTTTTAAATATGATCTAATATAAATAATTTTGACATCTAATTTGTTGTTTATATTTTGCTACTACGTAAAAAAATGTTTATATTAAATTATTTTAAATTTTGTTGTTAATAGGTATAACAAATTATTACTATTATTATTATTTTTATTAAACCAGTCTTTGTTTAAAAACATTAAAAATCATTTTCCTACATCCAAAATATTTTATTATCTAACCTAACCTAACAACAGAATATTAATAAAAAAAATGCAAAATATATAAACATACTATCCCTAACTAACTAAAGCCAAACAATAATATTCTTTGCTAATATCAACTAATACCAATATATGGCAACAGCGCTCTTCATAATGTATTTTCTGTGTAAATACTAGCAGATCAATAAAAAAAATAATGTGTCCTTATCTTTATATGACTCCGCAAAAAATCAAAGATGCCGGCTTCTTTCTAGCATTGCCACCGACCGCTGTCGGGTTTCTCGGAAAGAAACCTACGTTGCCGGGCGACAACTAAAATCCAGTTAATATTTTATTATAATCGATCTTGACGAATAATGAATGAATTTTATAAATGAATGGTTTTTGCTGCCGAATTACTAGAATACAATATTCCAAGACAGATGACGCATCTATTCGATAATTTTTATTCGAATAGTTTTCAACGAATGTTTTTTTACTAGCTATCGAATTATTCGAATGAATTGCAACTATCGAATGTTTCGATAGTATTCATTCGATAGTTCCCACTACTAATACAGAGAGTGCCGTTTAAAAATCAAAAGTTGTAGTAATTTCCGGTGAAACAGGAAGTGATTAAAAACAATTGAATACGTCACTCAATCCTAATTTATGTTATATACCAACATACCAAAGCTGGTTTTTATCTGAAAAAATAAAAAGTTATAGGGGTTTCGAGGCGCACCGGTATATCTGTTTATAAATTGCGATTTCCTAGGCAGAAGTATTTATTGCAAGCTTTTAAAAATAATTTTCTTTGCCAGATTTTTAGATCCGTCCCTGTGGCGGTCAAAATGCTAAATCGTATTTTGCCAAACCCACAATCTTCTCACGCGTGCATCCGTCTAACTTATTTATATTTTCATTTTTGATCTATTTTTGATATCTATCGTAATTTCGGATTATCAGATAATACTAATGTGCAGGATTTTCAGAGATATATCGTGCTATACCTACAGGCTTATCGAGTGGTAAAAATTCTCTGCTCGCCACTTGCAGTGTAAGAAAATCTACAAAATAAAAAGTTGATCACCGTTGGATTAACGCCAGCGGTCGGTGTTTACAAAAAAAATAACTATTTTATTTTGTAGATTTTCCTACAGTGCGAGTGGCAAAATACCCAAAGAATTTTTTGAAGGTGTTCCATTTAAAAAGAATCATCGCGATCCACTCACTTTTTTGAACCACCCTGTAGAAGTTCAGCACTAGTTAGTTTAGGTCTGCACTTAAACAAAATTCCTAAGTTTTTTATTACAGGAGCTACAGATGCACCTATTGCCGGACCCTGTATTTGCGTGAACTATTTTTGAATGATTTAAACCAAAATCGTTCAAAAACAGATCATCAATGGCATATGCTACTGTCAGTTCTAAAAGTAACTGACAATTGACTTGAATCTGTTCGTATTTTTTATCCTATTTTGAGAAGCAGTTTCTAATGATCAAATATTGTCTAAAAAATCTATCATAACCAAAAACATTATACATATATTAATGTTTTTTTATCTTGTTTCAGATATATTACCCCCAGAGAGTCAAATGTTAGCAGCAAAACAACTGATTAATATGGGAATCAGAGACGGCTATATAAGTGAAAACTACAAATTAATTGGGCATAGGCAAGTCCGAGGTAACTTATATTTGGTTATACCCACCTATAACGCTCCTGGTATTGTCTTAAGAGTAGTAGTGGGAACTATCGAATGAATACTATCGAAACATTCGATAGTTGCAATTCATTCGAATAATTCGATAGTTAGTAAGAAAACATTCGTTGAAAACTATTCGAATAAAAATTATCGAATAGATCCGTCATCTGCCTTGAAATATTGTATTCTAGTAATTCGGCAGTAAAAACCATTCATTTATAAAATTCATTCATTTATGAAATTCATTCATTCGTCAGGATCGATTATAATAAAATATTAACTGAATTTTAGTTGTCGCCCGGCGACGTAGGTTTCTTTCTGAGAAACCCGACAGCGGTCGGTGGCAATGCTATGAAAGAAGCCGGTATCTTTGATTTTTTGCGGAGTCAGATATAGATAAGGACACATTATTTTTTTTATTGAGGTGCTAGTATTTACACAGAAAATACATTATGAAAGGCGCTGTTGCCATATTTTGTTATTAGTTGATATTAGCAAAGAATATTATTGTTTGGCTTTAGTTAATTAGGGAATATATAGACATACTATATATTCTGCATTTTTTTATTAATATTCTGTTGTTACACTGCAATAATACTTGTTATTTTGGATGTAGGAAAATTATTTTTAATGTTTTTTAGCAAAGACTGGTTTAATAAATAATAATAACAGTAATAATTTGTTATACCTATTAACAACAAAATTTAAAATCATTTAATATAGATATTTTCTTTTAAGTAGTAGCAAAATATAAACAACAAATTAGATGTCAAAATTATTTATATTAGATCCTATTTAAAAATAATATAGTCTCTAAATTTTTTGGCAACGTTGGTTTATTAAATAATAATAATTACAGAACTAATTTGTTATATTAACAACAAATTTTAAAATCATGAAATATAAACATTTATTAATTTTCTAAGCATGCAGTGTAATGGAAGGAAAATATAAATAAAAAATTAGAAACCAAAATTATTTATATTAGGTGCTTTATATTACTATATAAAAATTATATTTACATTTACTGGCATTTACTTTAAAAAATAAATGAAATATTTTTTCTTCGCAAAAAACTACATGTAAGAGAATTAGCATAAACAAAATATAAACATCGTTAACTTTTTTTTTAAATTGGCACGTGAAAAACTTTCATTTTAATTTTCTCATCCCATAGTTTGAGTTCGATAACCACTTACTTAAATATGATTATTAAGTTCAACTAATTCATATTATTAAAACATCTAAAATACAAATATGTATTTTTAAAATTAATTGTAAGTTCATCTCATCTCTCTTAAAAATTGCTACTTCTCAAAATTTCCCATTAAAAAATAGACCATATACCATATAAAATTAAATAATTGAAAGATCGGACTACGGAAAACCATACAAATTTTCGGAAAAATTTTGACCACCTGCACATGCACACAATCGTCAATAAATAAAATTAAAAAATAACTACTATTTTAGTATTTTAACTATTTTAATAAACGCAAAAATAGCACAGTATTTATACGGCGAAGTTATAAAAATTTGGAAGAACTAATAATGCACCGACGCATATAAAAATCAAACGAATACTAAATTTCATTTATCAAAAGCATTCGATAGTCGTGGCTCAACGATAACCATTTAGTCGCACGGCGAGGTTGTCACATATGCTTTAGTATACAAATGAATAAATGATTTTATTCGAATAAAACCATTCGATAGTTGAAATCATTCATTCATTAACCATTCGATAGTCTAATTCATTCGATAGTTCCCATCGCTACTTAAGAGTCTATTACGCTGCACTGTTCGGGTCGATCTCGGGGGTCGGATAAAGCAGGTGTGTGGCCGAAGGAAATATATATTATATTTCAGAAATCTGCCTAAGGCTTAGCCCGATCCTGTCATGTTAAGCCACATCCAAGAATCCAAACACACGTGCTTTAATTAAGGCTTGATTAAGATTTGCAGAGCTTCAGAATTTGCCATAAAGTAGCTAGCAGTTTATTACGAAATCATATAAATTATACAGGGTGTCCCAGGCTGAGCGTGCATTAGAAGTTTCTAGAGAACCACAATATCTAGATCAGAGATTTTTGCACATCATTGTTTTACAACGAGATCTATCGATTAAAAATATTTTCAATATGGCGGCACTTCCGGAAATACTGGAAGTTGACTACAACTTTCTTATTTTAAATAGCCGCCCCTATTTTTTATTACATACCTAAATTCTCTGTAAAATTCTATGAATATTGATGTTAAACATTGTATATCTAACATTAACCGTTTTTGAGAAAAAAATATTTATAATTTTTTACTAATAAATAATAACAAAGTGTCACAATATGACATGGCCAGATCTATTGTTTTACATCACTTGACGTTTAAAGTCAGAAGCTACTGGTTAAAATCAAGAAAAATATACGCTTTAAAACTAAACAACTAGGATTATAGGTATAGGAGTAGCCACACCAAAAGCGTGTAGCGTTCGGCGTGTCTCGCAAAAAAACGCAAATGAAAACAAATAAGTTTGTTTTCTGTAGCGTCTTTAGCGTTTTCTAAGATGAGACCCCGTCATAGGCGGACGTTATATTTAATAATACAATAAAAATAAATGAAATAGTATGATTTTTTTTTCATTTTAGGGTATTATCTAAAAATATTTTTATTAAGAACATCTACTGTTTAGGAAGATTCTATTAAATTCAAAAATTTGAAGGAATTATTTGAAAAAGTGTAGTTTGAAATTTGAAAAAGTAATAAATTAAAGGAATATTTTCCTACGCCTAAAAAATAGTTTTTTATGCGTAAAAAGTATTTTTTTGTGAATAAAAAAGGTTTTTTTAACAGAAACAAATAGTTTTTGACGCGTAAAAAAGATTTTTTAACGTGTAACAAATAGTATTTTTACACGTAAAATATATCTTTTTTTGGGTAAATGAGTTTTTTACTAGAAACAATAAGTTTTTGACGCGTAAAAAATAGTTTTTTACGTGTAACAAATAGTTTTTTACACGGAACAAATAGTTTTATACGCGTAAAAAATAGTTTTCTACCAGTAACAAATAGTTTTATAAGCGTAAAAAATAGTTTTTACGTGTAACAGTTTTATTCGCGTAAAATAATAAAAATAGTTTTTTACGTGTAACAAATGTTGTTTTACGCGTAACAATTTGATTCACTTTTACAAAATTTGTATTAAAATATCAATATTTTTGATAAACACGTGGACTGCTCACAAATACACGTCGCGTCACTACGTATTTCTAAGCCGTTAACACGTTTCGTTACAACGAGCTCGTGTGTCAGGACCGTCTCACTAGCTCGTATGTCACGGCTTTGAATTTTTACTCCCAGCGCATGTAATGAAGTTTCACTCCAAAATGTTTCATAAGTCATGTCCTAAAATTGCAATAGCAACTAGATATATTTACTATTCTATTATATAATTATAATTATTTATTATATTTTAATTATAACAAGTACTAACCACAACACTACAACATAAAAAAATATACACATATAAACTAAAACTCGTAAAATAAATGGCAAATAATAATTATTATTTTTACATACACCACTGGCACTAGCAGTAGATTGTGTTTGTCTCCGAATATAAGCCCCGGCCCGTCCACAATTCAATCCCAGCGTCTTTTATCTTCGTCTCTTCAACGCTAACGGCGCCGATCTCGCCTATCTCTTTCTCACAGGATTGATTGTTGGACGGGCCGGCAATCCACGAGCTTGCGACGTTACTAATTGACATCTTGACAGAAACTGCAGACCTGACGCGTCTTTTGCGTGTTTTTAATGGACACAAATCGAAAAAAGCGCTTAAAACAGTAAAATCGCAAAAAGCGCTTGAGACGCACAAAACGCAAAAGGCTAAAAACGCTTTCTGTGTGGCCGTGGGCTAAGATTTAGCCCGATCCTGTCGTGATAAGCCACATCCAAAATTCCAAACATACGTGCTTTAATTAAGGCTTGATTAAGGTTTGCAGAGCTTCAGCATTTGCCATAAAATAGCGAACAATTTATTACAAAACCATATAAATTATATATCACTGTAATCACAAAACTTCAATCTATTTCCGTATTGTAACGGAATTTTAAATTATCTCTTTATTTTAGAGAAAATTTAGTCTAAACATAAGGAATATTTTGTTGATGTTCGACCATCAAAATAGATATTAAAAATAAAGTTGTCTAATAATGTGCTACAATACGGATATAGTATAATCCTTTATCTTTAATTTCTTCTTGATTCGTGTAAAAATACCTAGCCAGTTTTACATAAAACGTAAAATGCCAAACGCTTATTTTGCTACTTTTTCGGACTAGTGAAATGGACTCTTAATACTTGACAAAAACAATATATCCACGGATTGTCTTTACAAGAGGGAGTAAAAATTCAAGGCCGTGACACACGAGCTAGCGACACAGCCGTAACAAATGAGCAAGTGGTAACGCCTTAGAAATACGTAGTGACGGAACGTGTATTTGTGAGCAGTCCACGTATTTAGCAAAAATATTGATATTTCAATACAAATTTTGTAAAAGTAAATCAAATGATTTATTAATTTTTTATTTTACGCGTATAAAACTATTTGTTACAAGTAAAAAACTATGTTTTATTTTGCTGTTAATACAGTACTTCTAAATTCCAGAGACAGCATGTCCAGGAGAAGCATTATATAAGGAGATCCAAATGTGGCCTCACTGGATCCCCAACCCCGATGAAGAGGTCATTCCTGTAGTACCTCTAGACAAAGAAGACCTTAAACCAGATCCCAGAGAAGATCCGGATGCCAGCTTGGCATCTGAAGATAATGAAATTAAACGACATAGTTCTACAGACAAGGATGAAAGTACGTCGAGGAGTATAAAACATACATAAAAACTATCTTCCACTCTAATTGTGTTTAAAAATTATGTTCCTTATTAAGCTAATAGATCATTAAAACTTTTTTTTATCAAACATTGAGGTTCACTGGACGAGAAAATTCCAACGTGTTGTGTGCAAATATGCTCTCAAAAAAACCTACAGATAGATTTCGTTATACTCGTATGTATCTGAATCCATCAAATAAAGTGATTAACGATATTTATACGACGTTCCTATTTTAAAGTATTTTTTAAATCTCTTTGTAACTATTACTGTCTTTCATTAATAAAGTTCATATCAAATATGTGTATTTTTTTGCAGCTCTATGACACGCGGTATTGTAGACAAATGATTAGATTTTTAAAAATTGTAAGTGATGGGATCGTTGAAATACCGTATGATCGAAAAAAAAATGGCGTCCAGTTGGCTGTCAAAGTCTCTGCCCGGTTTCTATACGGAATTGTTCTCTAAAAACCTGCCATCGTTCACACGCAAACAGTGTATGTTAAAAATCATCATCTTGACCACAGTAGATGCATGATGCACTACGACGCGACGATCGCATAAATATTTTTTAAAACACCCATGGCCAGACAATGCTTGACTCATGAAGTAATCGACTTCTCCATATTGTCTGTTAAACTATAGTTGTATGTCGGGTATTAACATGTATGTCCATCTGCCCTATATTCCGTTATTTAATTTCTCTTGCTACTGTTGAAGAAGTTTTGTTATTGCTAGATTTTTATCCATCCCATGGTATCTATACTAATATATAAAATCCTTAAGTGACTGACTCACTAATTAATCACGATCCTGCTCAAACCACTCAACGTAAGAAGCTCAATTATGGTATACAGGTTGATTCTAGGGTGTAGAGGTTCGATAAGAAGGGATTTTTCGAAATTCCAGTTCCAAGAGGGTGAAACCACCCCTCAAACATTACAATATTTTTTATTTAAAAAACCGCCAAGTTTCCGAACAAACGCTTAAACACGTATATTTTATTTGGTTTTTTTTTACATATTTTAAGATTTTTTGAAAATGTATACAGGATGTTTCGAAAAATCTGTTCATTGATTAATCACGATCCTGCTTAAAGCGCTTGACGTAAAAAGCTGATTTTTGGAAAACGGATTGACTTTAGGGTTAGGTTAGGTTAGGTTCGATAAGAAGGGATTTTTCGAAACTCGAATTTTAAGGGGGTGAAACCACTCCTCAAATATTAAAATATTTTTCTTTAAAACGGGTGTTTTTCGGAAAAACTCTTAAACACGTATATTTTATTTTGTTGTTTTACATATTTTAAGATTTTTTAAAAATTTATACAGGGTGTTTCATAAAATATGACCCTTGAGTAATCACGATTCTGCTTAAACTGCTTGACGTTTAAAGCTGATTTTTGGCAAACGGATTGACTGTGGGGTGTAGAGGTTCGATAAGGAGAGGTTTCTCGAATCTCAAATTCCAAGAGGGTGAAAACGCCCCTCAAATATTACAATATTTGTTATTTAAAAAACTGTTATTCTTTCGGGAAAACGCTTGGACACGCATAATTTATTTTGTTTTTTACATATTTAGAAATTTTTTAAAAAATCACACAGGGTGTTTCAAAAAGTTGGGTAATTGATTAACCACGATTCTGCTTAAACTGCTTGATGTAAAAAGCTTATTTTTGGAAAACGGATTTTTCGAAAGTCAAATTCCAACGAGATGAAACTACCCCTCAAATATTACCAAGTTATATAATAATATCGCCATATTGTTTTTTCTCATGCTGACATAAATGTGAGAAAATTTTATCCAGTTTGTATGTTAATGGAAATTCTTGCTTTGCTTTATCATCACCATTACAAATGATTAATTCCACGCGAACGAAGTCGCGGGTACACGCTAGTACAACTTAACAAGTATAGCTAGAGACGTGAGAAATATAAAATAAGGAACGCCCCTCGATGCGCAGTGGACAGCACACAAATTTGCTTTCATCAGATTTGTCGTAGCGTAACTGCATCTCTCTTCCGCCGAATGCGTTCTCTCTCTATCGTGTGCGCGACCGGTGCTATCCCCAAGTCTCTTCCTATATTTGTCAAACTGTATATCATATCGTTCCTGTATGAGCAGATCAATAGGCGTTATTTCAGCTATAACTCCTATAGCCTCTCCAGATACCGTTTTGTACGTGCTGCATACTCTAATATACATACTGCGCTGTATTCTGCGTAGTCTTTGCGTTAGCTTGCGGTTGTTAGTGACTTCATAAAATCAAAGCTGTAGTAGATCTACTAACAGGGCATTGTAAGAAGCTAAATAGGCATCTAAAGCTGATGGGACTGACAGACGAAGCTATGTGTAAGTTCTGCCAATCTAAAGAAGAAACGTCAGAACACATTTTATGTCGGTGTGACAGCCTGGCAAATGTGCGGTTCCCGGTAATAGGCAATGATAGGCCATTGCCAGGGAGCTACATGGAGGGTTCAGTCTCCAAGTTGCTAAACTTTGTGAAAAGGATAGCACTGGAGAATCTAATCTAAAGATCAGAAGAGGACCACAATAGATCTGAGAAAGTCGCAGTGGATCAGGCCAAAAACCACCTCTAAGAATCTAGTGACTTCATGCCATGCAGCATACAATAGCTGCGAGTGTACCACACTAGCAAGTACTCGTCTTTTTGATGCTCTAGCATCTACATTCTAAATACATCTACATCTACCTCTGTAGGCTTAAAAGGGTTTTAAAATTTCCACAATGCAGCACATTAAGCGCCACCCACAAAGTGAACCGTCACGACGAAACATCCATATGGCAATCGCGAGCGGAAAAAGATCCAAATCCGAGCAGAAATTCCTCCGAAAATCGGAGACGCCAAAACGGAGAGACGACGACGTCCTACGTCACACGCCGAACTACGACCACGGCGTCGCTCGAAATAGACGCCAGCTATTTCTGTGGTTCGCAGCATTCTGAAAATGTGAACGATACCCGACGATCAAAAATACCAGCGCGAGACGAAACCCCGTGAAAATCACTGCGAAAATCCAATTAACTTGACGATAAAACCAAAAAAAATCGCGAAAAAAATCGTGAATAGTGTTATCTCTTAAAAGGACTCTTTAGTGCCAAACCGATAATACTCGGTGTAGTGTTTTATATCAAAATCCTCGAGTGAAACATCTATAAAGCATCGGTAAGTGTAATTCTTCCTCTTAAGTATGGATTGATTAAAAGGAGAAAATCGTAAAACCACTTGAGAAGCGTTGAGTCAGAGAGTTTTCGTTCTCGGACATTTTTACTAATGGCCTGACGTCATCCGGTGAGATAAATATTAGTGATGGGCATTACGATTCTTTTTAGTGAATCGAATCACAACTATCTAATTTATCATTTTGAATCCACTTTTTTTTGAGGAAATATTTCCAAAAATATAGAAATCCTTCAAATTTTCATGTATTTTAAAGTTGAATAATATATTTTGTCCTAATCGACCGCTTTTGATGATTCTTTAAGCAATTTGTGTTTGAAACACCCTGTGGAATATGTTAAGACAGCAAGAAATTTAAAAATCATTTTATCATCGAGCTACATACTTTCTCGATAGTTTGGTTTTCGGCTCATTTCAATAGCTTCATTTTTGATGGAGATATTCGCTTTTCAAGAAGACACTAACATTTTTTTGAAATTTTTACATTAAAACCATGCCTTTGTTTTTGGTCCCAGTCAATAGATCTATGAAATAGTGTTTTTGATTTATGTAATGTCTCTGTTATTGAAAAATCATATTAGTATTGTCTGTTGGCTGTTGGTCAGTTGCTAGGACCAAAAACAAAAGAATGGTTTTAATGTAAAAATGAGAAATGTTAGTGTCCTCTTCAAAAGGGAATATCTCCAACAAAAATAAAGCTATTAAGATGAACCAAAAAACAAATTATGGAGAAAGGATGTATCTAGATGATAAAATAATTTTTGAATTCCTTGCTGTCTTAACATATTCCACAGGGTGTTCACCGAACTTTCACTAAAATATCAATATTTTGTTTCCCCTGTATAATTGACAGATGGGAACTTTCGTTTTTAATTTAGAAAGGGGTACTAAAAAGTCAAATCATTTAGCTACGTATTGCTTAAAAAATCATCAAAATCGGCCTACTAGAACCAAATGTATTAAACTTTAATTACATCAAATTTTTTAGGTGTCCGTTTTTCGTACCGGTGAGTGTATTTTGTCCTAAAGGGGAGATTTTGATAAATATATAAGCAATTTGTAAATAAATTATTTGACTTTTTAGCTTCTTCTAAAATTAAAAATTAAAATGTTCATCTGTCTATTATACGAAGAAAAACAGAATGTTATTTTAAAATAATAACATTTTGTCTTAAAGCTAAAGGCTGCTAAAAGCAAAAGTTTGGAACACCATGTGGAATGTCTTAATGTGACAATCTCCAATTTTTAATTCCTAATTAGGCACCTTAAAAATATACGGTGAGCTGTGTACGGTATTGGCCCTCCTGAAAAAATAGTGTAAGTATAGCTGGTTTTGCTTCTATACTCCCTATTTCTTCTCGATAGCTTTATTTTTATTCGAGATATTCGTTTTTGAAGAAGACAGTAACGATTAATAGCAATTGTAGCATTAAAAGTATGCCTTTCGCTTTTGGTCCTCATCACCACACCTATAAGATCGAGTTTATGGTTTTTGTAATGTCCCTGTCATAGAAAAGTCATATTATTTTTGTTTGTTGGTAGGGGAGATGGCACTAAGTCCAGAAGTGAATCTCAACCATGTTCAATTAAAGCAACAATAGTTGATACAACTTATTGACTTAAATCCATCTCTGCTAAAGTAAAGCTTCATTCGGAACCTCAAAATCGTAGAAGTTTGTGCCTCTAATTTCAATGAAAACACTCAGAACGTCAACATTAGTGGTAGTAATTTTCAATTAGTAGAAAAAGTTAACAAATCTTTAACTTTTTCCACTATTTATACTTCAAAATTGGCGAATATATACAGGGTGGTCCGAATTGTATTCCGGAAACTTCGGCAACATATTCTGCAAATAAAAATAGGTAAAAAAGTATAAATGTATATCCTAAAATGCTTAGTTTCGGAGATACAGGGTGTAGAAATTTCATTTTTATTTCGATTTTTTCCGAATAATTTCTGAAGAAACATCAATATTTAGATGAAAATTGGTGTCTGGGAGTTTTTTGACATGAGAAATTTGATTTTGATGTCAATATGACTCCTACTGGTAGAGGGCACCACCTACGTGTGTTTTAACTGTTTTGAAGCGTAATAACTTTTTGTCCGTACCTGTATAAAACTACCGAGGGAAAAAATATAGATGTCTGTGATTTTTTACGTAAAAAATATCTCTTTGTAAAAATCGCTACGAAGAACCATTCTCAAGACATTTAGAATGGAAATAGTCAATACATGCCATTATTAACGAAAAATAAACACGTTGAGTAGATACCGTATGATCGAATAAAAACGGCGTCAGCGATGGCTATGAAATGAAGATCGCTGTGATTTTCCAGCCAACTGGACGCCATTTTTTTTCGATCATACGGTAGTTATTTTACTGAAATAATAAATTTGGGAAATTATATTTTTTTTAAATTAATCATATTTTTTCTGCAAAAAAAATGATGATTAAACAGTTTTTGTTGAACTTTTGGTACAAAAACATTTCAAATTTATGATCTCAGTCTAATAACTATTTAGTCAACATGTTTAATTTATGTCAGTTATGACAGGTATTCATAATTTCGATTCCAAATATCTCGAAAACCATTACTCGTAGCGATTTTTACCAAGAGACCTTTTTTACGTAAAAAGTGTCGCAAATGTATATTTTTTTACTCAGTAGTTTTATACAGGTACGGACGAAAAGTTATTACTCTTCAAACCAGTTAAAAAATATGTAGGCGTAAAAAAGTCTCAAAAAACTCCCAGACACCAATTTTAATCCAAATATTGACGTTAGTGCAGAAATTATTTGGAAAAAATCGAAATAAAAATGAAACTTCTACACCCTGTATCTCCGAAACTAAGCATTTTTGGACATACATCTATAGGAACATTTTTACTTGTTTTTATCTGCAGAATATGCTGCCGAAGTTTCCGGAATACAGTTCGGACCACCCTGTATATAACAGACTATCGCAAGCTGTTGCTAGGACAGGTATTCTATTAATTTTAATAATTGTATTTTTTGGATATTGTAAAATTGAAAATTGTACAAAAATAATATGACTTTTCCTGGGGTTTTGATAAGGACCAAAATAAAGACATGTTTTTAATACTAAAATTGTTATTAATTGATAGTCTTCTCCAAAAGCAAATAATACCTATCCCCAATAAAAAAAATGCTATTGAGATGAATTAAAAAACAAATATTCGAGAAAAGACACAACTTGATAAAGTGGTTTTTAAATTCCTTACTTTATTAAACTATACCACAGGGTGTTTCAAACTTTGACAAAAATATCATCATTTTATTTTTCGTTGTTGGATAAATAAATGGTGACTTTCATTTTTAATTTAGAAAGAGATACTAAAAAGTCAAATCATTTAGCTACAAATTGCTTAAAAAACATCAAAATCGGCCAACTATAACAAAATATATTGAACTTTAAAATACATGACAATTTTAAGGTGTCTGGTTTATAAAATTCTAAAAAAACTTGTTAACCTGAGCTTTGAACTTGTAAAGATACTTACCTAACTATCTACTTGATGATTTTGTTGTAAATTCGTTAAAAAAACAAAAGTACCTAATATCAGAAACATATCCAGCTACCTACGAAATATAATTGTGCCGCTAACAAACAAGAAAATTGTTGATTTTATGATGAAATGTTAGTTATGTGTTAAAAATAAAAATAAAATAACTGCTAGATTAAAATTTTGGCAACGGCAGAATTCGCCAATACGCAAATAGTGACTCGACATTGCCCAAGCTGTCGTTTTTTAGAATTACATCGAAACATTGAATCGGAACGGTGCCAGTGATGTTTCTGTTTAATGAATAAAAAATGTAAATAAACACAATCAAACAACAAGGGGAAAATGAAAATAGGTAGATAAAAAGGAAAAACATGAATTAAATTTTAAAATAACTTACTGCCATTACTCGCTGACGAGTATTTGACACGCATCAGAAGATGATTACGCAAGGCGTTTTTTTCATGAGCTTTTCTGTGACTGAAAAGCCCGATACGTGATGTTATTTGCCTACCGCACTCCGGACATTCAAAAATTTTATTACTTTGTTGCCTTTTTACTTTTTGTTTACAATCCTTCTCCATTGTGTTCTATTGTGCGCTGCTTCCTCCAATATAGATAAAATCAAACATGTTTTGGCCTCATTAATGGTCATAATTGAATTAATAAGATATCTATTCATTTTATGCATATACTCGTATATAAAACATACATGATCATTGTCATTGTTAGTGGTATATCAGATTTAGAATAAAAATGCTGCCTATTTGATTTAAAGAAATTGTAGCATTTTTTATTTCCTTTAATAAAATTGAATTTAAAAATCTATTTTTATTTAAATTCCTTAGTATTGGCGCCATCTATTTGCTAGATACCAAAGATACCAAACTCCATTTGTTACAGCTCACTTGTCTCGATATTTAATTTTTATTAGCGCATCTATTCGCTAGATGTCAAACTTCATTTATTACAGTTCACTTGTCTTGTTTATTAGCGCTATCTATTCGCTATATGCCAAACTTCCTTAATTGCATTTCACTTGTCCCAATCTCACTTCGCTGTGGATTGCGATTTTCTGTTCTAATGATTTCAATCATATGATACCACTTTTTTCTCTCTCATTTTGTCTGTGGTGAAAAGGGTTTTTTTTGTTTCGGTTCTGAAACTGAGAAGAAGGTCTTTCTTTCTGGGAATTTGGATCTGAAGAAGACGCGTGTTTCGGCGTCCGACAAATTTTCCAGTGAAAAGCACTCTGAATCCACTTTTCGATTTCCATTGCATGGGTATCCGATTTGGAAATTTGAAAACCTTGTAAAGTATGCAATCCAGAGTATAGATCGTATTTGTTTGGTTTCTCTTGGAATGACCACCGTAAGTTTATCCGCCATTTTATATAGCCCTATCTAACTAAATTCTATTTCAGTTATTTCCGTTTTTTATTTCGTTTATTTGAGTATTT